TCAAGATCTTTATTTAAATTTTAAGGCTAAGAAGCTTGCTTCTCTGTATGAGATGTTTTCAAATTTTCGAGCATCTTACTATGAAACAACGAAAGAACCTGTTTACACACCCGATGAATTTTCATCTATTTGCCCGATTGTGCATATACAGGGTGTTTTCACTTTAAATTTGGAAAATGCAGGAATGTATTCCCTATCAAAAATTAGGTGTAGTCTGCTCTATAAATTTTTTTTATGAAAGCCTTTGTTTTGGAGATACAGGGCGTTGAAGCTTAAAAAAAATAAACACTTTTTGACAAATCTCGGCTATCCATGAATAGATTTGATTTAAACTTGGTACACATTATGCGTATTAGGGGTTCTCATAATTGACAGAATATTAGTCCTATCGCATTAGCCAGTGGCGTGCAAAGGGGGGATGCGTTGCCCCTTTAAAAAAAAAAGTACGCCATTGGGTTTTTCGAAGAATGTAAAGTAAATTTAAATACTATCATACAAAAGAAATCTAAAAGGTCTCTTGGTATTTTTCGATAATACGCAGCGTTCATGAGATTCTTGGACTATCAAGATTTCAATGCATGAAAAAAAAATTACGACATTGAGTTTTTCGAATAATGTAAAGTAAATTTAAATACTACCATACAAAAGCAATCTAAAAGGTATCTTGATATTTTTCGATAATACGCAGCGTTCATGGGATTCTTGGACTATTAAGATTCCAATGCATGATAACATGGCACGGTAGTGCTGAATGAGAAAAAGAGATATTTTTCTTTGAATTCAAATGCTGCATTAAAATATATAGCAACTTTTTTGTTTCGCAGCAAGCCAAGAACTTGTAAATATTTTCATTACTTTCCTCTTCTTTCCGTTCCACCCCATGCCACATTCTTACCATTGAAATCCCCGTCCATCAGAATCCTCTCGCGTCTACTTTCAAGCCACCCCGACAAATCCCGAAATCTCGACTGAGCATTTCGAGAATCGGGGGGCTCGTCGTAGACGTTCACCAACAGCATGTCCCCATCTCTTCCTACCCCCTCTAGAACCACCACCATCACATTCTCATAACTAATTTCCCTCCTCATCCACGCCCTTCCCACTCCCTGTCTTATCAGTGTGATAGCTTTTGTCCGTTCCCCAATTCCAAAAGTGTCATATCCAAAAAATCCATTAAAATTTTGATACGGTTCCTGAATCAGTATCACATCTGGTTTTTCACTTATAATTTTGTCCTGCAACAGCATGGTTGCAGCTTTCCCCTTTCCTAAATTTATTTGTAATATTTTAATATCCATAAGTAATGTTCAATCGCGATTTCGCCAAATACTCCCTCATCTCTAGGCAGCCACTATCCCTCGCGCTATGATCCCTAACTTTGCCGAACATCTTTTGACAGTTTATACATTTCCTATGATTTTCCCCACAATTTCTCCCATCATGCCCTCTCCCGCACTTGTAGCAAACCTCAGCTGCCCTACAGTACTTCGCCACATGGCCGACCCTGCAGCAGCGATAGCACATCGTACCAGCCCCAGGTACTCCTCCACATAGTACAGCACACTATCGATTTCAATTTTTCCCCTCTTTACAATAATTTTGAATATATCCAAATTTGTTCTCAAGACCACATTCTCCTTCCAGTTGTTTCTGCATCCTATACGTTTAATTAATTTTAATTTCCCCTCTGTCTACATTCACACCTCCCTCAAAGCCCCTTATAATATTTTCCGTAAGTTCCTCGTCCGTCAGTCCTTTCACCACCCCCGAGACCATCAACAACGGCTCCAATCGTCTGCTCTCTCTTACCTCTACCTGCTGCATCTTCCCCAGTGTCTCTTTAATTTTGCCCCTTTGTTCCGAATCCCTTGGTATAATGACCACTTTACCGTCTCTAATCTTTCTAACCCCTTGCGGAGCCCCCCCAATTTCCTTTACGGATACCTGCTTGGCTAGGGCCTCCGCAAGCTTCCTAGCATTCTTTCTTCCTTACTAGACACGATCAGAGCCGTCTCCGCAGCCTTCTTCGGGGGCGGTGTTTTCCACCCTTCCTCACCTACTACTACTACCCTTCCCTCAATCCTTTCCTTTGTCATTCCCTTACTGGCCTCAGCATAGGTCCTACGTCGCCTCCTTACCTGCCTTTCCTTCCATTCCTTGCTGTCGCTTTCTTCCGTCATTACCCTCCTAGACTTTACTTTTCTACTCTCATTCATGCCTCTTTCATACCTTTCCTTTGCTCTCTTTCCGCCAGCTTCTTCCTTCTTTTCACTCATTCTCCTTTCCAATTCTAGCTGCCTCTTTAACATTCCTATCATCTGTCCTTGAATGTTGACCACCGCCTCCCTGACCATCATCTGATCGGCCCTCGTGAAAGCCAACTTTCCTGCGTGCTCCTTCCCTGTTGCCTCCATGATCCTTGTCAGTTCCTTCTGTACGAAATCGATTCCATCCTCTTCTGCTTTATTCTTTTCGGCTTCTACTTTCTTCATTTCCTCTCGTTCCTTTCGCTTCTGCTCCTCCAGTTTCCTCTCCATCTCTTTCTGCCTCTCACTATGCCTCCTAGTTGTCTCCTCCTTCTCGATTCTCCTCCTTATTCCTGCTTCCTCTCTTGCTCTTTCATCCTCCACAATCTTTCTCACTAGTTCCTCTTCCTCTGTCGTCTTTGTGCTTTTCCTTCTGATCCTTACCGGCGGCTCCTCTGAGGATTCGTCCTGTTCTTCTTCTCTTTCCTTTCTATCATTTCCTCCTCTCTTCCCCAACTTCACCGTCAACTCCTTTACACCTCTTCCCGCCTCGTCCGTGGACATCATTTCCGAAGTCTTATAATTTTCCTCACTACTCGAAATTTCGCTACTTCCCCCCATAATTTTCCGCGTAAGTGTCAATTTTGACATCTGTCACGATGACAGATGACGAGATAGAACACCCTAAATACACTCCCCTAATTTAAGTCCGATCGCCCTATAAATACCCGATTTATCCCCAAAATTTCGAAATTTTTGACAGCTGACAAAAATTTTTTCCCCCAAAATTTTCTCCTCTATCCAAGTGACTACCTCCCGCCCTTACTTCTCAAAAATTTCTAATCGTTTCCGAAATATCGCAAAATTTCGACAATCCTTGACAGCCGTCAAAAACTGATGTGCCTAAAATGTCGAGAACTGTCCAATCTCCAACTCCCCAATGCCTAAATTTGCAAATTTCGCAGTATACCCCCTAAATGTCAGTGTGACAGCTGTCATCTAGACAGTTCTCTGTTTGTTGTCTCTTATCCCCTATTGGCCGCACCGAAATGTTAAAATTGTTCAATTTACCTTTTTTCCAAATATTTATAATTTTGCCCCCTTTTTTCTCCGCCACTGGCTCCTTACCTCCACAGACCTTCTCTTCACCTTCTCCTCACCAGGACGAATCCTCAGACACCCCACTCGACCTCCTGTGTGGGGCCCTCAGCGCTCCGGTACTCTCGTACTCCACCCCAATAGGGCTGTGCCCCCTTTCTCACTTTGTACGGTAAACTTTTCGAAAAACACAACCTCACTTTGCAGAGCGCGATTACAACGTGTTTACTGCTCAACCTCTGAACATAGAATAGTGGGTAGGGACACGATTGGATGGGCCGAGACCCGACCTGCCCACCTTGCGGTATGAGGCCATCTCACGTCCGACGTTACCCACCATCAGGCGAAAACACCGACAAGGAGAACGCCATCCCAACTCCACTTCACCAAAAATTAGCGGGGTTCTCAACTTAACCTAATACAATTTTAATTGCACAATACCTAAATCTACAACAACCTAACCTAATCCTTATAACTAAGCAATCTAAGATAGTCTTTTAAAGTTCACTGAAAATTTTGATTAATCCCCCACTAAATCATTTGCCCAGTCCAAAACAAGTCCCCAATTTTGCCCCGTAATCTCCCCTAACCTAGGGGGGTAATGGCCGAGTTCCCTCTCAATTGTTTCCCTCGCCTGTCTCCTCCTCCGCAGCCCGCAGCGGAGGACCACATGCCTCACATCCTCTATTCCCTCACCGCATTCACATCCTTCATCCACTCCCGGTTCTAGGCGAAACCGACCCAGGTAGGCCCGGAAATTTCCATGTCCGGTAGCCACCTGAGTCAGCGCCGCACTAGCCTCACATCCGCTCCTATTCACATTCTCCCACAACTCATGCAACCACCTACCCGTATTCCCCTCGTTCCAGACATCCTGCCACGCTCTCATCTCTCTTTCGCTCTTCCACTTATTCAAAAATCCCTTGCTCACACCTTCCACTCTTTCCTCCCCTCCTTCCTGCTCCCTCCCTATCCGTCTGCACTCCCTGTCCACCGTCCTTATTCCGTCCGTCCGTCTGCTTCTCCACGCCACTGTAATTTTGATTCCGTCCGTCCGTCCGTTCGCGATATGTCTTTGAATTTCGTTAATTACCCACCACCTATTTCCAAATTTAGTCGTCTGTTCGCAAGTCTGTCTGGAATCCGTGAAAACCCTCACACACCTCCTTTCCCCTATCCTGCGCAGCCCCTGTTCAATACCCCGCAAAACCGCCCATCCTTCCAACTCGTTACTATTAATTTCGCCCACAACTTTCGAACCCCCTTTTTCCAAACGCCCTTCGACCGCCACCATCCACGCATACACTTTCAATCCATTCTCTTTCGCAGACGCATCCACCCACACATTCACGCCGTCTCCATCCACTTCCTCTTCACTCCAAATCCATCCTCTCACGGCCGGGTGAGGTCTCTCCCCCGCTTCCACCCTTCTCACATGCGCTCCCCATTCTCTCACACTTTCATACTTGGCCCTAACCCGGACCTCCAGAGGCACACACCCCGCTAGCACGGCCAAGGCCGCGGTCGGCGCGGTCCTGTATGCCTTCGTGATGGCCCTGAGATAGGGCCTCTCAATCGCCCTGAGTTGTTTTACAACTCTCGAGTCACCCGCCCTTTCACCCCAAATCTCCGCTCCGTACAGCACCATCGGGCAGATCATCCGCTCATAGATAGCTTTCAGCACTCTCCTGCTGTTGCCCCACTTTCTCCTCCCGAGAGCAAAAAATTTGCCCCCGAAATCCTGAACTCGCGCTCTAATCATTTTAACATGGTCCAGCCAGATCCTCTTTCGGTCCACTCTCACACCCAAGTATTTGATACTTGCACTCACGCCCACTCGCACATCATCCATCCTAACCACCGGTTCCCTGATTTCGCCACGAGCCGGGATAAACATGACCTCTGTTTTGGCCACGTTATATCCCAGCTTGTTCTCTTCCGCCCACTCCTTACACTCCTCCCATACTCTCCTCCACTCGTTCTCCAGGCTCCTGACCGAGCGACCAGATATCACGACTATCTGATCGTCCGCGTAAGCCTGCACATGCACACCTCTCTCCCTCGCTTCTCCCATCTTCCTAAACCATCCTTCCATCACTAACAGCCACAACACCGGGCCTAAGCTGGAGCCTTGCGGGCAGCCGACCTCGGTGTCCCACTCTCTCCCATCCACGCAAACCTTTCTCTCCCTCATAAAGCTTCTCACCATTCTCACCAAATCCTCATTCAAACCCTTTGCCCTCATCACCCCGATCACAGCTGGCGCCCATGCCGACCCGAACGCGTTTCTGAGATCGAGGGCGACAACCATCGAGTGCAGACCGCTCTCTCTATTCACCCGGATGATTCGCAACAACTCCCCGATGGCCTGCATCGTGTCTCTTCCACTCCTAAAGCCGTGCTGTCCGCTGTCGAAACTATCCGTTCTTTCCATGAAGTGCGAGATTCTCGCAGCCACCAGACGATCGAGAACTTTCCCGACCGCCGGCAGCAACGAGATTGGTCTCACACTTCCCCCACTCTTCGGCAGCCAGACAACTTCCGCTCTCTTCCACACTCTGGGGAAGACCCCTTCTCTCATACACTTCTCCACAATCACTGTCCACGAGTCACCCAAAGCTTTACTTACATACTTCATACAATCATTCGGTATCCCATCCAAACCCGGCGCTTTCTTAACACTCAATCCATCGATCGCTCCCTCCAATTCACACCTGGTGACAGCGAAATCCTCCTCCCTCTCCCGATCTTCAAAATACTCCCTCCTCATTTCTCTGTGCCCCTCGCTCTCCCCCTCCTCGCTATCTATTGGAAAATATTTCCTCACCAGCTCCGCCTGCGTCTCCTCCAGAGACCCCGTATAGGTCCCGTCCTCCCTTCTCATATTACTCTCTACCCCTTTTCTGCCCCCCTTAATCCATCTCTTACAAATCTCCCACACCTTATCCCCCATGCTTTCTAATTCCCTGTCCAAATTATTAAATTTTGCCTCCTTGATACCTTTCTTATACTAATTCCTAATTTCCACATATCTGTTCCTAAAAATTTCCCTGTCATCCCCCCTAGCCCCCTGAAAATCCCTCCTTGCCCTCCTAACTCTCCTTCTTTCCCTCTCTAACTCGTCCACCAATCTCTCTCAATCCTACGCCTACCTTTCCTTTTCCTCAGAGCCGTTCTGCAAGCCTCCTCACACACTCGCTGGAGGAGCTCGCCCTGCTCCTCCGCACCCAGGCGCCCCAGACCCGGTCCCTCTCTCGCCCATCTCTCATCCACTTCCCTTTCAAACCTTGCCCAATCAGCTCCATTCCCCTCGTACCTTTCTTTCCTCCGCGCACTCCTCCTAGCATCCACATCCAACTCAAAACTCACATACCGATGATCGCTAAGCGAATCATCCCATTCATCCACCGTCCTCCCATGCACTCTTACCTCCTTGCTCAACACGAGATCCACCCAGCTAGCACCCCTGTTGGAGTAAAAGCTGGGAGGATCTCCCGGTTCATTCTCCACCCTCCATCCATGCATCACCGTCCATTCGTGAATTTCTTCACCTCTCGCATCCGTCACCTCACCACCCCACATTACATTCTTGGCATTGAAATCCCCGGCCACAATCATCCGTTCCCTTCTACTCTGAAACCACCCCGACGCATCACGAAACTTCGAGTTCGTGTTTCTAGCGTCGGGGGGCTCGTCATACACATTCGCTACCAGGACGCTCCGTTCACCCCTCACTTCCACCTCAACCACCACCACATTCTCACTCAGACACTCTCTCCTCATCCACGCCCTGCCTAAGCCTCTCCTGACCAGGGTGATCGCCTTCACCCTTCCCCCATCTGCCCTGTACGTATCATATCCCAATAGTCCCCTAAAATTTTCATATGGCTCCTGAACTAATATTATATCCAAACTTTCAATTTTGATTTTCCGAAATAACAATACCATGGCTTCCCTGCCTCTCCCCAAATTTGATTGTAAACACTTAATTTTGCCCATTACCATAATTTATCAATTTCCTAGACTTTACTAAAATTTTTCCCAACGCAGGGCAGGTGGGGTCCCTTGCACTATGCGCGACCACCCTCCTGTACTCTCTCCAACAGCTTACGCATTTCAGTTCTTTACTCTGGCAATCCCTGGAGTCGTGTTCGCCCATGCATCTACAGCACACCTCCTTCTCCTTGCACGCTCTCATTACATGCCCTGGTCTGCAGCACCTGAAACACAGAGGCAGTCCCAGGTACTCCTCCGCGAACAGAAGCTCACAGCCCAGCTCCACCTTCCCTCTCTTTGCAATGTCCTTAAACGGTCTCACCCCTACTCTCAATATTACATTCTCTTTCCACGGATTCCGACACGTCACTCGTCTAACAATTTTGATACTTGCCGCGTCCGTCGCCGTCATGTTTTCAAATCCCCTTGCTAAACGCTCTATAAAATCTTCGTCCGTAATCCCCTTCTCCACCCCAGACACAATCACCATCGGATCTCTGGTCATCCTCTCTCTCACCTCCACACCTTCGATCCTTTTCAAACTCGTTTCAATCTTTTCCTTCTGCTCCTGGTCTTTGGGAATAATTACCACCCTGCCATCTCTAATCATTTTCACCCCCTTCGAGTTCCACCAATATCCTTGCTCTTTATCTTACTCGCCAGACTATCTGCCAGTTTCCTAGCGTCTCTCTCACTCACACTGCTCACCAACAACGCACCCTGCCTCTCCCTTTGTGTCAAGGGTGGAGTCACCCAGCCCTCCTTCCCCGTCACCACTACCCTGCCCTCCACTCTGTTTCCTGCCACTCCTCCATTTACACTCTTCTCATTCATACCTCCACTCACCTGCGCGTACGTCCTCTGCTGCCTCTCTCTGCGCGACCTCGCCTCCTGCCAATCGCTCTCGGTCGTTTCTGCAACCTCCTCGGCCCTTTTCCCCCTAGGCAACCGTTTCTTTGGCGTCTGCACCACCACTCTCTTCTCCGTCCCCGCTCTTCCTCTCGCCTCCTTCAGTTCGCTAACTTCCCTTCTGAGTCTGCTGCATTCTTTATCAATCTCTGCCTGCCTCAGCACCAGCTCCACCATCTCCTGCTGCACATCGAAGAGCGCATCCTTGGCCGCTATCTGATCACCTCTCGACAGACTCACCTTGCTGCCGCTCTCTTTGGAGATCGCATCCATTGCGATTCTCAAGCACCTCTTCACAGCTCTCACTCTCTCCCCATACAGCTTATCCATCTCCGCCTCATCCTTCGTCTGTCCTTTCGACGCATCATCCTCCGCGCCGCCGTTGCTATCTATTCTAACTCGTTCCTCATCACTTGATTTACCTCCTGCATCCTCCTCGGGACGCACCGCTTCCACGTTACTCTTACGGACTTTGCTCTTGGCCACACTCCTGTTCTCCCCTTCTCTCTCCTCCTCGCTGTCTCCGATCGTGCCACTCACCTTCCTCTTCCGCAACTTCGCGCGCGTGTCCATCGATACAATCTCCTCCGCACTCATCATCTCCTCCTCTTCCGACACTTCGTGCACCACCTCTCCTTCGCGACTCATTTTGGCGCTCTTCTCAACTCTCCGCGTCTGCCCGCGACGCTCCACTGTCCGGATCTGGCCTCTTCTGACCGCCTGTCAAATATGGCAGATTCTCCAAAAACGGTCTATTCAACTCTCCACGTCTTCCTGATAACTTTCCGATACTTCTCACCGCTCTCCGGCGCCCAACTGTCACTTTGACAGATGTCACCAAAATTGCGTCTTACGATACCTCTTGACAGCTGTCACTCTGACAACTGTCGTCTGACGTCTGACAGTTGACAGCTGTCAACTGTCAGGGTGGTTGCTAGGGGTCGGTGACACCTGCCAACCACTAATTCGTATTCTCCTCACCTTCCTCTTTCGTCTGCCACTAACTCCCAGCAACTGTCAAAGTGACAGCTACCACTCCCGATCACCTTGGCGACCCGTGCACAGCCCTCAGGAGGATCTCCTGAGCACTTCCCGCCGCTCCGTTCGCCAACTGTCACTCTGACAGCTGTCACTTCCTCCCCCACTCCTCGTTTGTCCACCAACCAAGTTTCACCTCTGTGCCACCAGCCGTTCTCCTCCTATCACGATTTTCAACAGTTCTTCACACCACTTCTTCCTCGTCCTAGTCCTCACCGCTACTCGCCACTACTGGCTCACTATCCACACTACTCCACTTAGCCCTCCGCTCCTGCGCTGCTATGCCCCAACAGGACTTCGACCTCCGAACGATTTTTACTTGATGCTTATTGAAAAATTTCCAACCTCACTTCTATAGCGCGACGATATACGTATTCACTCCACGAACGCTGACCATAGACTAGTGGGTAGGGACACGATCAATTTAAATGCCGAAGCCCGCCCCCCCACCTTTCGGTATTGGGCCGTTTCCCATTCCTCTCCACTATCTACCGAAAACCCTGTCAAGGCAACCCATCCCATCTCCACGTCTCCTAAAATCAGCGGGGAAGAACCTTTATTTACAAACAAAACACGACAATGGCAACGACTTATCCTACTTACAACAACCTTCTTAACCTAGATTCTTAAAATTTAACACCTTGTTTCGGCAATTGCCTCACATCAAGGGGGGGGGGGCGAGAATGCCAGGCAACCCAGGCCGTCCGTGGCATCTCGACCCCCTTACCTAACCTAATCCTTATCCTAACACCTTAATCTAAAGCGTCCACACCGCACAACTCCAGGTCGTCTATATCTTTCTTTTACTTTTTTCCTTATCATATCTTTCTTTCCACTCATTCTTACTCCTTTCTCACCATCGCCTCCGCCCAGTCCAACACCCCTTCCCACTTCCTTTTTTCAATCCCCCCCAGACTCGGGGGATAATGACCCAATTCCCTCTCCAACGCTTCCTTTGCCCTACTCCTTCCTGGCAGGAGACAACGCAAGACCACGTGCTCCACCGTCTCTGCCTCAGCTCCACACTCACACCTCTCCCCCTCGTCTCCGCCAAGTCTGAACCTCCTCAGGTAGGCTCGAAAGTCTCCATGACCCGTAGCCACCTGAGTCAGCTCAAAACTGGCATCGACTCCTTCTTTATTTACTCTATTCCACAATCCAAAAAGCCATCTCCCCGTCGTTCCCCCTTCCCACTGCCTCTGCCATTCGCTCATCTCCCATTCTCTCCTCCATCTCCTAGCCACACTCTTTGACACCCCCTCTACTACCTGCCCTTCTAAGTCTTGTCTTTGTAGCGTCTTACAGTGTCCGTCCGCCAGTCTTATTCCGTCAGTTGTCCTTGTCCGCCATTCTACTATAATTTTGATACCCCTTTCTAAATTCCGCGCGATTTCTTTTTGTATCTCCCCTATCACCCACCACCTATTCTCATACTTAACAATTTGCCTAACCATTTGCTGCGAATCCGAAAAAACCCTAACCACTTTTCTCCTCCCTCTCCTCCGAATCCCTTCTAATATCCCCTGCCAAATCGCCCAACCTTCCAACTCCATATGTCCCATCTCCGTTATTAATTTCGCCCCTCCTACCTCTATCCCGTCATTCGCCGCCACTGCCCACGCACAAACCTTGTTTCCTTCCTTAGCCGATGCATCCACCCACACTCTTACACTCTCCTCTTGTCCCTCCTGAGCACTGGGCATGTATCCTCTTATCGCCGGGTGAGGCCTTTCCCCGACATTCATCCTCAATATCCTATCATTCCATCTCCTTCTCGTCTCAAACATTCCCCTTGCCTGAACCTCCAAAGGCACACAGCCCGCCAACACCGACAGAGCCGCTGTTGGCGCGGTTCTGTATGCCTTCGTGATGGCTCTCAGGAAGGGTCGCTCTATAGCCCTCAGCTGCTTCTGTATCCTGGTGTCTCGCGCCCTTTCCCCCCATATCTCTGCCCCGTACAAGACCATCGGGGAAACCACCCGCTCGAAAATCGCCTTCAGGACCCGCCTGCCGCTACCCCACTTCCTTCTCCCGAGGGCAAACAACTTACCCCCGAGATCCTGGACTCGCGCCCGCTTCTTCTTGACATGCTCCAGCCAAGCCATCTTCCTATCCACATGCACTCCTAAATATTTCACACTCGTTCTAATTTGGACCCTAAATCCCTCCATTCTCACCACGGGCTGCCTAACCTCCCCCCTAGCTGGAACAAACATAGCCTCAGTTTTGGCTATGTTATATTCCAGCCGGTTCACCCTAGCCCATTCCTTACACTCCTGCCAAACCTTCTCCCATTCAGCCTCCAGAGTCCTCACCGAACGACCCGATACCACCAATACCTGGTCGTCGGCATAGGCCTGGACGTGAATCCCCCTTCCCCTGGCTCCTTCCATACTACTAAACCATCCTTCCATGACAAGGAGCCATAGAATCGGACCCAGGCTGGATCCTTGCGGGCAGCCCACGTCCGAATCCCACTCCCTGCCTTCCACGCACACTTTTCTGCCCTTCATAAATTCTTTTACCATTCTTACCAGTTCCTCAGCCACACCTTTGTTCCTTAAGTTCTTTACCACGGATGGAGCCCAAGCCGACCCGAACGCGTTCCTAAGGTCCAAAGCAACGACAAGCGAATGTAATCCCTCCCGACGATTCTCAGCGAGTACCTTTACCAGCTCCCCGATGGCCATGACGCAATCCTTCTCCTTCCTAAAGCCGTACTGCATCCCGTCGAAATGCTGTCCAGCCTCCATGTGGTATGAGATCCTCGCCGCTACCAGCCTGTCGAGAACCTTCCCGACCGCCGGCAGTAGCGATATGGGCCTCATACCACCATCGTTCTTCGGGATCCAGACGACTTCTGCCCTCTTCCACACTCGAGGAAAGACTCCCTCCCTGAGACAATCGTCCAACATGTCCCTCCACGTGCCTCCCAGCGCCTCGAATACATGCCCCATGCACTCATTCGGGACGCCATCTTGACCGGGCGCCTTGTCTTTACTCATTCCTCCAATCACGCCCTCCACCTCCGTGAGGGTGACGGCGAAGTCGTCCTCTATCCCATCCACTCGATCCTCCTCGTATTCCCTTCTCATTCCCCCGTGCTCCTCCTCATCATCCTCTAATTTGTCCTCTGGAAAATATTTCCTAACCAACTCCTCTACTGTCTCCTCTACTGTACCCGTATAACTCCCGTCTTCTCTCCTCATATTCCCTTTCACTTCTCTTTTCCCCCCCTTAACCCATCTTTTACAAATATCCCACACTCTATCCCCCATTTCCTCTAATTCCTCCTCCATAGCCTTCATCTTCACCTCCTTAATTTTGTGCTTGTACGCATTTCTTTTAACCAAATATTCCCTCCGCAGTCTGTCCCTGTCTTCGTCATCGTCACTAATAATTTGGAAATCCTTTCGCGCCCTCCTTACTTCTCGTCTTTCGTGTGTCAGTTCGTCCGTCCTCCTCCTTCTTTTCTCTCTTTTATTCAATTCCCTCCTGCACCGCACCCTGCAGAAGAGCACCTCTTTCCTCTACTCCCAACCGTTGCTGCTGATCCGGCCCCCGCTCCTCCCAAATATCCCTTAATGCATTTTCAAAATTTCCCCAATTTGCTCCCTTCACCTCGTACCTCCATCTCCCTTTTCCTTTTGCGATTTTTCCAAA